TGACTGTATAGCCAATACATCCTTAAAATCACACCAGTACAATTTATCCGCAATCCTTCACCGATGAGTTTTTGCGACCCAAATTTGACGCGATACTCAAGAACGTAGATCTATTTTTGATTAATTTTCTATAACAATGGAACCCAATTTCCTCTTTGATTAATTGACCTGCACAGTATTTTAATTAAATTTTGTTAATTATATTTATACTCCAATTAACTTTCCATAAACATTAGTAATAAATCGAACAAACAATTCTATAGAAAATCCTTATTAAGAATTTCCTATGAGACTGCCATTCGCTTTAATTGGCATAACGGCGATTCGCTTTAATTAACTCGAATTCTGCCTAGAACCTGCTGCCAGCAGAATTCAATATATTTTCAAAAGTGTAGAAGGAATAACGAAATTTCCTCAATTAACAATTCAATTATCAGCGTTACCCATTCCGTAGCCGAACTATCACCAAACACCCATTACGCGAGGCAACTTCGAGCTAAGAACCAATCGACCGGATGCGCTTATGGCTAATTTACTGCACGGATTACACCGAGGACGCGTACCTATCTACTCGCGACGATTCTCGTACACTCTCCTGAGTGTCGGAAAAATTCGCAGATCGATTCAACCATTCCGTCCACGCGTCAAGAATGCTTAAATGATGCTCGCCATTGGAACCAGCAGCCGATAGAAGAGAACCGGGGGGGGGATGAAGGGAGAGGCGAGGGTGAGTGGGCTTAAACTCTGTGATTTTAATTAATGTCGCTCGCTGGCGACGATCCACTTTACACCAGCACCCCTCTATCGTAACGCGGGATCTTTCAATCGCGTGGAAACTTTCCACGTTAATTATTTCACCGTCGAAGCCGTGGCGCGGGGGCCGCGACCGGGTGGGGCAACTTCTTCGAATTTTGCAACGAGCACGAAAATTAGAAACTGAACGAAGCGAAACGAAGACGGCTGGCGGAAAAGTTTCCGCCAAGCCCGATTCGCTTCCCCGGCATGAAATTTTCGGAAACACCGGCACTCGTCGTCGTTTTGTTTTAAACCCGGAACGTTCGGCAGAAATGAATGTACTTAAAAGATCCTGGTTTAATTGCACCGCGAATGGGTGGAAACCTAATGTAACCGCGAGGGAAACAGGCCAAGAAGCTTTGAAATATTTCACCTTAATTGTAGCAAAGTTCGTTGTCTAAGAGCTGCTCTAAAATCTTTTTAACATCTCGCAAAAGTTTCCTTGATTATTACATTGCGAGATAACGCGGTAACTCCTCCGCAGATGTGAACATCTTATTTATTAGTTTTAATATCCTCCCCCGCAATGATTTCGATTAAGCGCGTAGGCCTACTGGCTTGTGTTTTAGCTCGCAGATTTAAAATTGAAATTATCAAGGTGCACAGAGCGTCAGAGCGTGCTGGCGATTCGTTTGCCCCTAAATACGGATCGTTCGTGCGTAATGTTAAAAGAGAATTCAGTTTTTCCCCCAGTACCTTCAGAGATTATTCTCGTGGAGGGTTTCTGTGCAGCGTCGACATGCACTTACCCTCGGATAGACAGGCAGGGTTCCTAAAGGGTGATCCCATGACAGTAATCCGATACTTGACCGATACAGGTCGTTGCGTGGGATACGGAACACGTGTTCCCGTGGACGAGACCCGCCACTTTTGGAATATTTATCAATATGCCGAAACCGATCGTTTGTTTTAAGCAGTGTCACGCACATTATTATCAATAGGAACCGTTCATTTTTTAATCCAACGCATGATCCCCAGGGAACACGCTTGTATGAAGTAATCCTATGGTTCTGTGTCATCTACTGTTCACGAAAATGAGAAAAATCGATCAGCTCATGGACGTTGCATTAAAAACTATGCACATATATTGTAAATATAAAATTTTATTTGATATATCATTATAAAATGTATACAAAAGGTGTCTATAATTTATTTGTAATGAAATTACATTGAGATTGTGTTCAATTTCGATGTTTGCTAGATATCTTGAAAAAGTATTCGGAGGTGCTGTAAGGGTTTGGAATGGGGGTGTACTAGGGAAACGAGAGGCGTTTTTCGGAGGACGAGGATCGTTTAGGGTTCGGCGGTGGCCGAGCGACAGAAGCTCGGACAGCTCGGTCAGTGTCTCGGCCACCCTCGTGCCGTGCAGGTTTGTTAGGGAGGAGAGACTGCTTGTTCCAGGCATCCCCCTCTAGATATACATACATACACATCCCCCTCCTCCTTTATCCCTCTCTCGACTTAATGCCAGTACGAGCGCGCGCTTTCGAACGACGCGTCGTGTCGGCCGCGAGGGACGATCAGTCTGTTCTCCACGTTCTCCACGCAAGGACGACCGCCGCCGCCGCCGCCGGCAATCCGTCCCGAACTAATCTGTGACACGAACTTTGACCCGCGCACAACACTCCCGCTGATTTCCAGCTTCTTATCAAAGCCAACGATGACGCACTCTCAAGTTCCTCGAGTCGAACCGCACCGAGCCGAACAGTACTGATCACATTTTCGTCGCGGTCGTACGCGCTCCATCAGTTTCGTGCATCATTCAAATTCGTGATACGACTTCCAATTTTCGCGCGCCCGTCGCTTGTGTTTCTGATTCAAGGGTAGTTCTCGTCATTTTTTTGCACGAATCGTAAGTTCGTTCGATCCATCGAAACTCTTCGTCGAGACATGTGATCGTCGTTATTCGAGAGAGAAAGGTTTCTTCCCGCGTTTCCAAGTGGTGTTGTCAGTGGAGACCGAGAAGAGGGTGATAGACAAATGCGTTGGCGGTAGTAGGACTGGTCTTTTATGGCCTAGGTAGAGCGAGGGAGGGAAGGCTGTCGTTTGGACCCGGTATCTCGACGATATCGAGATGAGACTGCTGCTGCTACTTTCGATATCCTGTTTGGCGAGCCGGTTTGGCGCCGATTGCCGGGCAGTCGATGATTCTGGGGAGGACGAGAACTCCGTCGGGAGGCACAGGCACAAATTCACCGTCGACGAGCTGTTGAACACCAAATTCCCGCATGGCATCAGCGACGACGTGGACGTAGACGTTTGCAAAGCTGGTAAGACAAAGAACCTTCTTCTTTTTTTTAACACTGCGTTGCCTACTGATACTGATATCTGTTTGAATAGAGATAGAAGGCGTTAGATGATAAAACTGGTTACTACCGGTTGAGTCTTCGAATTTTTCGATCAGGGAATGTTTATCTGTAGCGTAGAGAAAGTCCAGTACTTCGTATTTAAATTCTATTGTATCTATGCTGAGGATCGAATTTGTTCAATCGAATTAAAGGGGAGTGACACAGTGATTTGTAAGCGCAATTATGTAAAGCTCACATTTGCGACTCGCTATGAAAATGATAAAAACGTACGCGTTATCAGTACAGTAGTATGCATGTAGATATCAAAGAAATTTTCATCTTTTTCCTCCCGTTTCATAATACGTGTTGCGAAATCACTAGAGATATAATTACCCAGATGCATCACATAAAATTTGCATGCTATTGCAACACATCGAAATACATTCGAAATTTTCGCAAAGGAACATTGATCATAATTTTTTAGATACTCGAGACGTAAACAAATTAGTGTATAATCTCGTTGTAACATTTGAAAATTCATTACTTAACATGTTGCAACCAGGAAACCCTTTCTTCTAATCAAAGTTCAATGATACTGTCATGATCATTGAAAATCAAGAGAACAGAGTAAGAAGATTAACTATAGGATAAATCAGGTCTACGCTTGTCGTTTTAATAAGGATTAGATTGTGCATATCGTGCAAGGACACGAAAGAGCCACTGACCGTTGCCGAAGGACCAGGTCCAATAATCTTATTTAGCCTCTCCCAGACCTAGGCTGCCTCATTGTGCCTAGACCAGCATTCGACACTCGAAGGGTCCGGTATCGTAGTTAGAAAGGACCTTTTATCCTTCTCGAGTGATTATCCTGGGCGTGCCTAGTGCCTACCTCTCCTGAGACAAGTTCGTATATACATGTATGTACAGAGCGCCGAAACTGGAACGACCGTGAACAGAATGAGAAACGACGCGATGATCCCTTGGACAGAGTGTCGGCTTGCTAAAAACTGTACACCTTCGTTTACGAGTCTTAAGACATTGCTGAATGTAAAACTGAAAGAGACAATGTAAAAACATGAATGAATAAATTGAAATTTATGATATTTTAATGGATAACGTTAATTGAAATAATTTCAATTTAAATAATCTTTGATTGGTGTCAATTTGAATTTGTTGATAAATATTTGGAAGCGTTTTAAAACCTGTAAACGGGGGTAGACAATGGTCATTATCAGACTTGTTTAACGTTCGGTTATCATTACCTTTTTGTAGGAACCAAAGAAATACCCGCATATCGGATTAACTGGGCTTACAGTGTACCACCACTCGAATTAGTTTACAAGCTTCCAATACTTCAGCAAGTTTTCCCGACTGATAGAAGGTTTGCTTAACTCTTAATCGAGTTTATAATCGATGTACACAGTAAAGTTGTGTGTTCTCCGAGGAGCTTTCGTAAAGCGTCGCTCTGAAAAATTTCTAAAGTAGCAAGATCGAGGGTTCGATCACGAACTTCCTCGAGCTTCTTCGGAAACAATTTTTCCAACCCTTCGCTGTGGCGACCATTTAACTAGAACCATCCTCGCCAGTTAATCGAAATGAAAACGCGGGTCTATGCTTGCCGAGTAACGCGAATCGTGGCATCCGGGCAAGGTAAACACCGTCCAAGTTCGAAGCCACATAGGAAGAAACGCGGTGGAAACTTTGACTTTCCAACTGTGTTCCCGCAAAAATACGCGAACTTGATCGAACTGGGACGGAACTTCGTCCGAATCTAACCGGGAAAACATTAATTTTCCAGTTTGCTTCCGTTTCTTAGTTCAAAGATACCTAGCCTCGCCGCAAATACTCAGAGCCAATCGATGATCCTCCAGAAAGATAAGGGACAGAGGAGACTGTTAATAAAATGACATTGACTCATTGGGAATGCGACGCGACGGACAAACGATCGGCTTTTCGTGTTTCGCCGTTTGCAAATTCGCTCGCTGCAAACGGACAGACAGAGGGGGCTCGGAGCTTTGAATTATCCTTCTTCACGGAAGTTTCAGCAATTTAGATTAAGATCAAAAGCCGGCCGGATAATGCGTTGAATATTTAACGGCGGTAGGACTACTGTTGCGAACAACTGGTTATATCTAGCGAGACCTTCTCGAAACAGACTCTCCGTTCGATTTTATGGATTTCTACAAAGAAACGTCCACCACGTTCCGATCAGTACAACAGTCTTTTTCATTCATCAACTCGTTTCCTAACTTAATCGTTTTTTCAATGATTCCTATACTATATAAATGTATAAAAACGACATTAATAATTGTAACATTAATTGACGATGAATAAAAGCAGCAAAGATTTCAATCATCTATTATTTAATGCCAAAAAGATTGACAAGGAATAGAAGTATCAGAATCTTGTTATTAGATATAAATTTCATAGTTCGATAAGCAAGAGGTGAATCGGGAGTTAATTAAACGTAGCCTCAGAGAAAACGGTGTACAATAGAGGAAATTATATTGCGCACGCGTTTCGAACGATAAACGGGCGGTCGATTGATTTTCAAGAGTGTAATCAACTACAAGTTGAACGCACTTAATGTAAATAAGCACAAACAACGATAATGGTGAAAACCACCGCCAAGATAGAAGGGAACTTATTAAGTCGGCGACCGTAAGAAGTTGCTAATAAATATTCCGTAAAGTGAAACAATTTATCCTCGTCTGATTTAAATAAAAAACGACGTCTCGCCGTTCAACGACTGCTACCTACCGTAATAGACCGGTTCATTCAGCGTCACGTTTTATCCCCTTCCCATATTGATTTTCTGACATTGAAAAGAATTTTTTAGCGACGGATATCACTGTACACGGATGCGACCTTGCGCAATGCAAAATTGATCCCTCGGTTTTGAAAAAAAGCGAACAATTACGCAATTTCATGCAAAGCTTTAAATACCTGACCAAATTATTATTCGCCTGGAAGATCCAAGTTTAATGATTTAATTAAAGGATCAAGCGCGACGAGAAATAAAAAAAAAGAGCGTTGGGAGTGTCCGCGCAGGTGACTTTCCCGGAATTTTCTCGTAATGCAACGGCGGGGCGAAAAATTTGTTCTTCTCATCAAACTCCACGGGCCATTATGGAAGCAATTATCGGCGCGGCTGACTTTTTCCTATCTCGACTCGCCTCAAAGTTCTATGAAATTACCAGCCCGACGAGAAATGGAAGATTTTATTTCCCCATATCGATCTCCAAGGTTTTTCTGGTTCCTCCGATAAGAGAAGGTTTCCTTCTTCATGTTCCTTCCGTGTTTTCCTCTAAACGATTTAAAATAATGAAAGGGAAAGAAAATTTGCAGCACCGTTTCGCCGAGGAACAGGGACGCCTTAGAAAGCACGTTATTACTTTTCCCCGCTCTATTAATGATGAAACGAAAGGGATTGGCTCCGTTAAACGAATGAAAATATAATTGGAACAAATTAATTATTCCTTAAAGAGAAAGTTGTTTGATTTTTCGGAAAGACTAGCTCGCTGTCGGGCGTCAGTCATTGAGAACGCGTTCCTTTGTGAACATAATTACAGGCCAATTATCAATTGAAGTGGCTGCTCTAATAATAAATCAGGTTGATGTAACTCTTAATTATAGAGGAAATTTTCAGCAGTTTCTCTTCTTCTACAATTAAAATCTTCGTCGGTTAGTTCGCGCAGCTTATTACAAAATATGTATTCAGGCTCCCAGAGGATTTTCCCGTGCCCAGAAAACTGTTCGTGGAAATGACAGGAAAACACTTTCTGTTATCTCCGTGCTGCCTCCACGCTCTTTATCTACATAATTATTCAAATAATGACTGAACAACGGCACGGTGCAAGTCTGATAACAAAAATTGTACGAGTAACACTAAAATAAAATGTACAAATTCAATTTAATTGTAATTTTCGTTTGATAAACAGTCCGACCGATCCCTCGGATCGAAGGAAAGGAAAAGGGGCAGCGAGGAAAAACTGCGTAGACAGTGTGTAGAAAGAAAAGTCCCGTGGAGCGTGTCTAGCAGGCCTAGCCGCAATTGGGACATGAAAAGCAGGCTCGTGCATCAGTCGCGTGCAGCGAGATGCATTATGGTGCACGCGAGGCTTGACGATACTCGAGCGAGTGGTCAGTCTTTTCATCGGGCCGAGTCTAAAGCACGCAGAACGGTACCTCGTGCTTTTTGCTCGTTAGCTCGGGACGGACGATCTTCGCTCTGCCCTCTGCATCTTACGTAGACGGAGAATTTTCCGAGATCGATTCTTCCTTCTGCCTTTTCCTCGGTCTCTGATCGCCGACAACGGAGCAAAGAAAGCCAATTTCATTTCACATAACTTCCTTTGATCGTTCGTTAGAGCGTCACCAATTTGCTTATTCCTGTACTCAGACTATTCCGTTCGATTATACGTTCTATGATCCGATCAGATCGTGAGATCTGATTTCGAAAAGAAACGGCATATTCGTCAGAAGTGGACCGGCTTCTCTCTGGGAAAGCTAGAATTGAAAGCTGCGTAGTTGGAGGGTTTCGCATGTTTCAGAGGATTTCACGGTACGTCGGTCTATCAGCTGTTTATTGTGGATTACACGCGATTGCAACGTCGCGTCGCTTTAACCACGAGCGACGCTTTTTTTTTACCTATCACGGTATCCATGCTTAGCCGGTGGACCCGTAGTATATTTACGAGACAGTTCGAAGATACTGTGCATACGTATTCCTTTATTTGCGGCTTGTCCTGAAATTGAGGGGCCTGCCGAGGATCGAAGCCGGTCATCTCGTAAATGATGGGCTCCGTTTTTACGAGCTACGAATGCCTGCGGCCGGCTGTCTCGTAGATTGCGGGCCGAACCAATTACACTGGATATGATATTACATATCATCTTGTATTCAACTTTAGTAGTTACATTAACTTGCAATCAGTTTCATATGAACGTACATAGAGAATCATAGTCATTGATTTTATATTAAATATTTTAATCAGAAATATATTTGGATTTGTCAAAATGTAAGGATGCATTTATTTAATGATTTCAATCGCGTATACAGTACGTTTCTATGTTGAATAAGTCATTGCGTACGACCCTTGTTACGCATTTGTATCAATCGTAAAAGGCAGATAGTCCTATTAAAGGGATCGCAGGTGTTTATGACATTTCCGTAAGGATTTTTAAAAAGGTTCCCTTTAATATAAACATTATTCCCTTAGAACTTATGTAAAACACTGTGGCGGCGTAATTATTACGACGCTCGAACCGCGAAGTTCTCTCTGATTTTACACGAGTTCTCGTTTCCTCACGGGGCGAAAAGAATTCCTTCTTCAGAGGGAAGGTTTTTCAACGGAGTCCAGCCGGTTATGACGGTCATTACGCGATGAATTTTAATGCATTTTAGCATTCCCGACATTTCCTATGCCGGCTTGAAAAGTTCCGCGAACTGCCCCTAACGGATGGACGTGCTCTTTTTTCCCTCCTTTTCTCTTATCCTCCTCCGCTCTCATTCACCGGTCTCACCTTGTTTTTCGTTCAATTTTTATCTCCGCGAAACATGCGGTCAGCTTTTCCTACTCGTACTTGTTTCACCGACGATTCACTCTTACCTCGCATTGTTTCCCTGTAAATCGACTGAACAATGCATAGAAACTCGCAGCAACGGACCGTGCGAACGAAGATGACAGCAATTGTCTCGATATTTTCTCATTGTTAGAACGAACTCCTATAAATTGATATCAGTGTCATAGAAGTCTTGATCATTTAAGCATCTCAACTATAAAATGCTGGGAATTTGTATGGGACGTCAATCCTTCAAATATCGAATGCCATGCTGCGTAATAACTGCAGATTTTTATGCAAAATAACGCATGATAGGAAAATTCATTTTATTATTTTATTATTTAGGCAATTTTTTATATTATTATACGTTATACACAGTGTTTATGGTTTCTGTTATAAGTATGTAAAATCTAATAATAAGATTTACTCGAATTGCATTAGACGATTTTTGTATAGTTGGAATAATTTATAGCGATTATTTTCAAGTAGCCGAGTCGACAATCCGTGGAACGAAAGAAATAGAGCTGCATTCCGATATGCATTGCTGACTTATTGAAATTGTGTGCAAAACGATTGCAAGAGGGCAGAGAGGAAACAGAAATATGCCCGTCATTCTCGCGACGAATGTTTCAGTTTCCGGCGATGGATGTACAGCATCGGTAGAAATTCTTCAGCTTGTAATATAACAAGCGTAACAAGTGTTTCAAATAGAAAATTGAAGATTTTTATGCAAAATGGAACATGTAAAATATGAATTTATTTCATCCTCTAAAAGTAATCATATGCGTTTCTCTTTTGATGTTATGTTTATTGTCTTTGGATAATAGATGGAAGGAAAAATTGTTTAAACGTGCAAATATCATATAGATGTATTAGAAATAAATGTCTTCGTGAAATGTAAAAAGAGAATGTGAAAAAATTGTGAACATTATTAAGACACTGAATCTGTGACATTATTTCCAAAGATTCAAACTTAGAAAACGAGCAAAATATGACTTTTGATTGTAATTGAAACTTAGCATCGACTCTGCAGTAATTCCCTGTGGAACTCCATAAAATCAATGAAGCTCCCGATTCGGGTTAACTTTCAAATAGAACCGAGAGTTTCTCACTTCTTAAAGACAGTCGATATTTCGATTCATCTCTAAATCTCATCGTTATCTTACAACTTTCTCAATTACTCTAAACCTCGCCCTGTTATCTATCCTTCCCCGACAAATTCCAGCCGCGATATAATGTTTTAGTAACGAATTATGCTTAACCGCACGTGCAATGAGTGGTCCAAGCCCAGAACTCGTTCCCAGGCTATAACTCATCCCGCTAACGTAACCGTGCGCTATTAAGTTTCACCATGGAGCAGTCTCCGCTCGGATTGTCCATTTGCCAATTACCAGATTTTCAGTTCCAAATACGAAATTCGTCTGACTCGAATACCGTTCAGGTATTACATAACAAACATACACCCCCGTCTTAAGACATACTGCGTAAGTTTTAAGAATATGAACGAACAAGTGAAATATTTTTTACGCTGACTGAAAATGTGGATTGATTTAATTGTATTTAGAAATAAAATTTTATTGAAACTACTCATGACGTGTTGAATCATTTATTACATGATTATGTGACGTGCACATAATCTTCTGATCGAGGCAATTTCTGATGGTTACTATTTTGGAACATTCATCAATTTTATTGATAGGCAAAAATGTGTGAAAACTCGTGAACGGTGGTGTACGTATTTCAGAGGGCGAAAGAGTAACTGTGAATGGTGCATCGATATAACGCAG